ACTCTGGACCTGGGTACTATCCTTGAGCTTTTGTGCTCAAGGCTAGGGCTCTACCACTTGAGCCACAGCTCCACTTCCAGCTTTATTATTTTTTTTTGGTCAGTCGTGGGGCCTGAACTCTGGGCCTAGGCGCTGTCCCTCAGCTCTTCAGCTTAAGGTTAGCGCTCTACCACTTGAGCCACAGCACCACTTTCGGTTTTTTTCTGCTTATGTGGTGCTGAGGAATCGAACCCAGGGCCTCATGCCTGCAAGGCAAGCACTCTACCACTGAGCCACCTTCCCAGCCCTTTTTTTTTTTTGTAGTTTAATGGAGATTAATAGTCTCACAGACTTTCCTGCCCTAGCTGGCTTTGAACTGTTATCCTCAGATCTCAGCCTTTTAAGTAGCTAGGATTACATGTGTTAGACACAGTTTCTTGGCTACTACTGAATTTCTCTAGCCCAGAATATTAAAATAAGTCTGTAAAACATTTTAAAGCCCTGGTACTTTTTTAAATTTTTTTTATTGTAAAGATACTATACAGAGGGTTACAGTTACATGAGTGAGGTAATGAGTATACTTCCTCTTGAACATTGTTACCCCCTCCATTGTTTTCCCCCTACCATCCCCTCCCTCCCTCCCTTCCCCGAGGTTCTTTTTTTTTTTTTGATTGTGATTAAGTGATTACATAATTTCCGGAAATTCACAGTATTGTGGAATAATGATGCTCATTTAAAGTCACAAGTTCATTCTAACTTTCCTGGAGCAAATTGTCTATCACAGTCTGTAATATATAATGGTGCTCACATGTTATATACCATCTATGTGATCAGCAGCATGGGGATATTTGGTAGTGGTTCAACCAGATGAGTGGGAGTTCTTTGTTTCTTAAGTCCTGTTAGTTTTGTCATATCACCTAACATTTTGGATTTAGCATCCACTTATCAGGGAGACCATGTACCGTTTGTCTCTTCGCTCTTGGCTTACCTCGCTCAACATGATTCCTTCTAGCTCCATCCATTTCCCTGCAAATGCCATTATTTTGTCATTTCTAATGGCTGCATAATATTCCATTGTGTATAGATACCACAATTTTTGGATCCATTCATCTGTGGTGGGGCATCTGGGTTGTTTCCTTATCCTAGCTATTGTGAACAGTGCTGCAATAAACATGGAGGTGCACGTGTCCTTGTATATTGGTTCCTGTTGTTCAGGGTAGATGCCTAGAAGTGGTATGACTGGGTCGTAAGGGAGGTCAATCTTTAGCTTTCTAAGGACCCTCCAGACTGCTTTCCAAAGTGGTTGTATAAGTGTACATTCCCACCAGCAGTGTAATAGGGTTCCTCATTCTCCACATCCCCTCCAGCATTTGTCGTTGGCTGATTTGTGGATGTGGGACATTCTGACTGGGGTAAGGTGGTATCTCAGGTTTGTCTTTATTTGCATTTCCTTCACCACCAGAAGCCCTGGTACTTTAAAGACTATGCTGTGGGACAATACAGATTTTGTTCTTAGACTACAGTGGTTTGGAACATGTTAATACTGATGTCCAAGGAGGAAGTATTGTGGTTAAAACACATGTTTGAGAAGAGGCAACAGCAGTTTAAAAGTTTGCCCTTTGTAAAATTATATCACTGGTTTCAATAAAAATATTACCAAGATACATGTACATTTCAAGGTATTTTTTCCTAGTAGTCTGCAACAAATTGTGCATGTAACTCATGTCCATCTGTGATTCTGCTCAATTAACTCTAAAGCAGACTAGATAAAGCTTCTAATGAAAGTCAAAGGAAGATTTAGTAAGATTCATGGCAGTGTGTGCATGTATAGTATTCTCTCTGTACACTTAATATAAACCGAACAATTTTACATTTTACGGGGATGTGACTGTCACTTCAAACCTTCCCACCATGACGGGAATGGTTTAAGAACTGATGATGTATACGGAGACATGTTCAGCAAGGTTCTTTCCTTTGGAGAAGAATTAATTATAATGAAAGGAGAAGTTCAAAACCCCTCAACCATACTTGGAGCAGAAGTGGTTTTGAGTTTAGAGAATTGATCTCAAGGCTCAGGGTGTGCTAGCTCCTGAAGCAGGAAAAGCTCTCTCTGGGACAGACAGCCTTAGATGGTGGATTTGGCCTAATTGTGAAACTGAAATTCACAGGAAAAAGTTCCCAGTCCGTCCTGCAGCATTGTAGAATCTTTTAACTCCAACATCACACAGTCCATATGATAGGCAAGAAATGACTCCCGTGTTACGAATGCAGGAAACGAGAACTGACGTGAACCGTCTCACCCCACGTGCAGTTCTGACAATGCGTCAGGGTAAACTAGCGTTCTCCTGTTGAATTGTTCAAGCCTCCCTGTCCTCGTTTTTTGATTGTGGAGATCAGGGCGACGCAGTAGGTCTTGTTGGGTTGATGAAGGTATACCAATGTTGACAAGGACGTTTAAGATCACTGAAGTGGAGCAGAACAGGCTCTCTAAGTTCCCCCCTTTACTGTCTTCAGCCCCCCGACATGCCTCTCCCTCCGCCTTACCTTTTGCAGGGGCACAATCACTGTCCCTTAGGGTGAAAGCTGGCCGGGCTGGCCAGGAGGCCGCCCGGCAGCCATGGCTGGACAACGTGTTGACTGTCCATGGCCAGACTCAGCTCTCCTTCTCCTCTTAGGGCCTAGGCGGGGCTCAGTGTGAGGAGGTGGTGGTGGGCAGCACAGGTGCCGAGCCAGGCAGGGAGCTCACGCCCGCCTGCTGTTGGGGCTCAGTCCCTCCATCCATCCGGTCCGGGTGTCTGGGTGTGACTAGGACTGTACTGTGGCTGTGGGCACCACCTGCTTCTGGGTGACCTCTCCACACCCCCACCCTGCCCAGCCCCCCCGCTGCACCCCCAGCACCCGTGGTCCAGAGTTAGTTCAGGTCCCAGGAATGTCCCTCCCTGCATGTGCACATGGGGTGGGGGTGGAGGGGAACAGCTGTGCAGCAGGCGCACAGTGAACATTCTGGAGCCAGGAGGGGGGCTGTGCCCATCTCAGAGGCACACCAGGCTGCAGGGGTGAGGAAGAGGAGGGGGCTGCAGGGGTGAGGAAGAGGAGGGGGCTGCAGGGGTGAGGAAGAGGAGGGGGCTACAGGGGTGAGGAAGAGGAGGGGGCTGCAGGGGTGAGGGAGGGGACGGTGCAGGGGTGAGGGAGGGGACGGTGCAGGG